GGTAGGGCCAGGACCAGGAGCCCCCTCCCACCCTGCCCTGGGCAGCCCCAAGCCAGGACTCTGTTACTAGGCAGAGGCTCCCTGGCTCGGCCGCACCAATGATGCTGGCTGGAGCCAGAGTCCACCATGGATCTGGCAGGGACAGGGTGACCCTGGTCAGTGGCCAGCAGGCCTTCCCGAGCCCTGGTTTCCCCACATGTACAGACGGAGTGATTGGTAGGAGATGATACAGCAGAGAACAGGGGACCCGGGAAGGGCTCTGCCCAAGGTTCTGCCCAGGGGGCTCATCCAGGGGGTCCCTGGGCAGAGCTGGGGTCCCTGGGTAGAGCAGGGCTGGCCTCCTTGCATTCAGACCTGGCCACCTGCCTCCCGCTCCCTCGAAGGCCCCATACCTGGTCTTCATGGAAGCTCTGCATCTGGGGAAGGACTGGTGGGGGGCTCTGGACCTGCAGGACTTTCGGCAGGGTGAGCGACACCCACAGGGCACACCAAGGCCCCATGCCACAGCTCTTGCCCCAAAAGGACAGAGAGGAAAGAAGTGACTATTGCCACAGCCGAGTCAGAGACTAGCCTTTTTATGGGCCCGCCTGGCAGGTGCCCCTCCCTAGTGGGTGTGCCCCCTTGCCTCCCTCCTCAGGACTGGCAGGAGGAGAGGTGGGTGTGGCAGGAGGGCTGGGGGAAGGGCTGGGCAGGGGAGGGGTGAGGAGTCTCCCTTCTGAGTGCCCTATGGGGGTGTCACAGGCCCCTGCCCAGCCCCACCCCAACCATCTCCCTACCACAGAACGTCTTGTCCCAAGCAGGGAGCTTGACCTTTCCCAGTCCCAGTGGGATGGGGCTGGGCTGTGGCCAAGCTTCGGTGTCCTCACCCGCAGAGCCCGGGCCTGCAGCCCCCACGCAACAGTGTGGGCTGGTAGCCCAGGGAGCAAGCACAGGACCCAGCCGGCTGTCATGAGAGTGTGGGGTGGAGGCTGGGCACCAGATGAAGGTGGCTGAGGGGTGTTCCAAAGGGGCCCTCTTCCCAGAGGGGAGGAGGACAGGTGGTTGGGAAGGAGCCCCCAATGTCAGGGGCACCCACACACTGGTAGTGCTCAAAAGAGGGCTGGCGGGGAGGGCATGGGCAGGCCTGGGGTTTCCAGCGGTCCTGGTCCCCAGGGACAAGAGAGTACAAGCCCCCTCCCTAGTTCCTCTTCCTCCCCGCGCCTACTGGCAGCTGAAGGGTGTGGGTGCTGGGTCCCATGTTAAGGGGCTGTGGAGGTCATGGGCAGGCAGCTCCAGCTCACCTTGTACCTGACCTGTGAGCTCCCGGCCCCGACAGCACAGGCCGGAGAGGCG